GAAGACAAGTTAGTATTACAGTGTTTTGGTACCAATTGTGAGATTTAAGCCTAGATGAGTGTAAAATAGACCTCTTAGTTACATATGGTCTTTCAGTGAATTTTCAGTCTTTTCAGGCGCTATCTTGACTGCATTATCCCTCCTGCTGCCTGGCATGACCTGTGCTCCTACACATCTTTAAGTGTGGTTTGTGTCATGAAAATTAGATATACAAAAATTAAAGTGTAAACACAACATTTCTGTTGTTGGGAATGTGAAGTCATTTGGCATTCACCCATTTTTCTTAGCTCTTCTCCATTCCATTGAGGAAGTAGACTTTATGAGATGGAAAACTTCATTATAAGCACAGTTTGCCCTATGCTAAGTCTGCTCTGTAGGCATTGCACTGAGTTTTAATCCACCTGTAAGCAATCTAACTTAATTGGAGGAAGAGTGGAAAGGAAGGAATAACTATGTAAACAGAGGACTTAAACCCTTAAAAGTGTTTTAAAATTGAACATCTGTTAAGCACAGGGCACCTGGTAACACTTCTCATCACTGATCAGTTTTCCCATCTTTTCCTAATACATCAAATTTCTGAGGTAACACAACAGGTGGTTAAACTGGGTTAAGTTGTTAACCCAGGCTTACCTATGGCCCCCAAATCTTTTTACTATGTGAAGATAACATAGGTGTAGAGATACCTAGCAATGAGTTTTAGCAGCAAAAGGAGGAAAATACATGCGCTCTTTCTGCCTGGCAACAGTGAAAATAAGCATTTTGTCTTTTATCTTAAATTTGTAGATACGTTTTGTAGCATTCCATAAAATATTACTGAGGTCTAGTTGATTGAATTCTTGGAGTAATAGGATTTTGTTAGGTAATCTGAAATAAGCATTCTTGAATTTAGAGTTCATCCTTAATGAGTACATAATTTAAAAATACATTGTTACTCTAATGGTGCAATAATTCCCGTGATAGCAAGAATTTAGGTGTTTTATTGTTAGTACTTGGTTAGATTGGGTTGGGTCTGTACAAGAAACAGTTTGTTTCATTCAGCAAATGACTATTAGTTGCCCCCCCCCCCCCAGCTGTTAAAATACTGAATACAACTGCTACTAAAAGAATAATTGTATGGGGTGCTGTGATGATTGAAAGGTGAAGTACTTGGTCTCTGCCCTCAAGGTAAGAGGCAATATGGTAGTGTCATCAGACAGATCCTAACAAAGTACCCTGGGTTTAACTAGGAAGGAGAGTTCCAAGCTGGGAGATGTGGTCAGATTCTTTTATAAGAGTTGGCATTTGAGCTGGCCCTTGAAGGTTGGAAAAGGTTGTGACAGGTGGAGGGAGCGGAGGCAGAACAGTGCTGCAAAATTGCAGCCAAGAGCAGTCATAGGCTGTGAGAATCACAGAGCCATAATTTCCAATTTTCTTACCTTACTGGCACTCCTTTTCATAGGGAATAACATACAATTCTCTAAAGAACTTTTAACTCAATACATTTGCATATAAGATGGATATTAGGATGGGGACCTGCTCCTAGGATAAGTGGCGGGTCTCTAAAATGTAGTGGGAGTGGGTTGGTTTAATGTTAATGAAGAGACAAATATATCACAGGGGACTTAGTGAAAATACAAAACAGCTAATTGACTGCAATTGGCTTGGCTGAAGGGAGAAGAGGCAGATTGCACACACAGTACCTAAGCCCACTGAGAAGACCTTTAAAAAAGCCTGTGGCCTACTGATGATGGTCTTTGGGATATTAATGAAGTTAATGTTTCTTTTACCTTTTAAGATGTAGTATTAAGCCTTAATTTACTCCAGTGAACAAAATTATGTGAGACTGAAATTTGTTGATGGCAAAACAAATATTTAAAATTAGTTACATGTATAAAGTTGCATATCTGTTTTGTGGAATAGTTTAATTTCTGTCTAAATGAAGAAATACCTTTTTCCCTAAGTAATTTGTGGTTCATATAGCAATGATCACATTTTAACCAACTTTCAATTAGGAGTTAGGGTAGGAGGAAGTAGAGCTTAGTGTTTAATCTTTTAATGTTACTTTAACTAATTGTCTTCTTTCCAGAAGTACTTTTCCTATCATTTCTTTTTCCTTTAGGATCTGGGTACCATGAAAAGAGAGATAAGGCAAAACGGAGAAACAGTTCATGAAAAATCTACGTGTAAATTAAATCTTGAGTTGTTTTTTAAACTGATATTTCTATACCAAAAGTAAACCTGAAATTTTTTACCTGTTGACTTTATTCCACTGATAAACACATGATGATTCATTATAATACATTTCCTTTGTACTTTATTATGAAATAAACAAGGTCCTTTTAAAGTAGCAGTCTAAAGGGGAGATTACCTGGAACGATCATTTTTTTTTTAATTAGCATTGGAAATATATAGCATGTTGAATGTATAGGATTGTCATTTTCTGTAAAAACAGTCTCCTTTAAATATTAAATGATAACCTATTAAGGACTTTTCATATTGCCTAACTTACGTTGTAAAAGAACATGATCATTTCTGTGCAAAGAATTCATCGACAGCAGTAGTTAAATGTGCTCAAATTGGTCTGGCTGTAAACTGGAGAAGATCCAAAATGAAATGGGGATGGAGAGGAGGATGAGGTACCCTAAGCAGCTCTTTTCTGTGATCTTTTTATCTTATTTTCTCTCTGGAAGCCAGGACCTCACATAATATTGAAGGCTAATACCAGTATAAGAAAGCAAATGTAATCTCAGATTTTCCAGTGGCTGTTTTCTTCTGGCTAGAAATGTACATTATGCATCTGAAACCACTAATGCTTAAGTATCCCATGCAGCTCCACACCTGCCCTTCCCTTTTTTGTTAATGTGTTCATATGGCAAGTGGCAAGAATTGATAGAAAGATCCCTTTTGAAAACTTATCCTGAATCTGATTGCAGAGACTTGGGATAAGTATTGAATTCTTTTGAATATTTGACAATGGAAACTTTTGAAACTGAACTTCAGCTTAATTTTTAGTTACTATCTCTATAACTTGTGATGAACCAGTTAAAGAATGGGTGGAGGCTTTACTGTTTTGCTGTCATTTGATATTCGGTGCTGTGGTTGGTTTGGGTAATTCCACTGTCCAGTCAGTCTTGTTCCCTTGAAGCAATATGTTTTGCTAGACCATGGTCCTTAACGGTTGGCTTTGAGAGGGTGGTTAAAAAAAAACTTTTTATACCATGGCTTGACACTGGAAATAAGGGTAAAAATGTTCAGATGTGGAAATGTAAAGGTTATTACATTGTTTTGAGCTGGGTTTTTTTTAACTACTTTCTGAGGAGTTTGTCCTGAAACATTCCATTCTTTTCCATTCTATTCCAGGAATAGCCCTTGCTTATTTTTAGATTGTTACATAAGAAGTATAAAATCCATTTGCTTTAGTGGGAGTTTTTCCCTTTTTTGTAAAAAAGTAGTACCCAATAAAGGAATCTATTGTGAAATTCCAAGTAGCGTTGTTTTAAATGTAAAACTGGGAAAACTTGGAGAGAATAGAAAAGAGAAAAAAGTGGTCCCAGTGCTTTAGGTGCTATTAGCACTTTGGTGTGCCTTTTTGTTGTTTTCCTAATATTTTTAACATACTGTACCTTCTAGAGATAAAATTTATGTCCTGCGTTTCTTCTAACATACCTGCTCTAAAGAGTCAGCAGGCAAGTGTTGCAGCACAACTGGGTGTTAGATACTAAAGTTACAGAGAGAAATTGTTTTTCTTTATCCCTCACTTTCAATCCATACTACAGCTCCATTGGTTTGAGCTTTTCTGATTTTATGACTATTAAATAACTTCCAGTTGCCCAAAATAAAGTTTACTGGCTTGTAACCATGAAAATGTGTCCATTAAGTTGGACCTCGCATGAGGTAGATGTTATTTCTAATAATGGATATTCATTGATATTAACTCTATAAATTCCATCGCCCCCATCAATAACTGAATTAACATTTGTATTAATATATGCATAATCCTAATGGTTTTAAAGATCAAGAATTATATCAAAATATGTTTACATTTTTTTTTCACTTTTAATATATTTCATAATAGGTGTATAATGCCTAACTGTATAGTTGTGTGGCTGTTTTTCCTAACCAATGTATATTCTGGCTTCTTCCCCCCCAGAATAATTATCCAA